TTAAACTCTCCTGAAACAACGACTCGTACGTCGATAAACGTTTTATATACACCCATCCGACAAGTTAGACGACCAATCAAATTTGTGAAGGGCCTGTTGGTCTAGTGGTACGATTCCTGTTTCGGGTACAGGTGGTCCCGGGTTCGAAACCCCGGACAAGCCCTATAATTTTCGAGAACAGTACAGTACAGTACAGTACAGTAGTGTAATAGAAAATTATGCCGGTCATTTAAAACAAAAAAGAAGTCCTGAATTTGCCAGCCTTTTATACCAATATCAATATACATAATATAATATACTCTTATTACATATAAACAATTACCATTTGGGTCTCATCATTTCATAAGAGTTTGTTGATGCTGTTTTAGGATTTCTGTTTCGGTTAATGTAGGTTATTTTTACCTACTTTTACTTTAAAAAATAGATTATCCTTTGGAAATTTACTATTATACCATGTGTTAAACTTTGATGCCTCGTATCGTGTTGTTTGGTTTTGTTCAAATGAAACTCTTTATTTTTTGAAATAAAAGGACACAGTATTATTACGTCATTGTTATTTCTACTGTGCCAATTCGAAATTTGTTAGAAAATTGAGCGAATCACTAAAAGTTTCCGATTGAATGAAAGCATCTTGAGAATAAAATAATAGTTTCGTTTATTAAACACTGAACAAATGATTATTTACCAATAAGTTTTTCACAGGAAGGCAATACAGTTGTACATTATTGTATTATTTGAAAATAAAATTACTATGGCGACCAATAACCTATTCCCTTGAAATTTATAAATATTTATATATTACACAATTAAACTGAAACAAGAAGGTTTCTATTTACCATGGAATAGCATTGTAGCATTTTCATATGACGTCATTACGCAATGTACTTGTTGATTGGCTGGTTGGATTTAAGTGCCATTAAAATATATGTCTTTCAAAACACCCTAAAGGTGAGGTTTGGTGGGGAACTTCGTGAGCTTATACAGGACAACCCAGCCTGCTCTGAAAGTGTTATCTTCAGTTTTCGTGGTAATTGCTAATAATGAGTCAACGTGCCTGCGCAAAATAACTAAACACAAATATCAATGGATGTCAATAAATACAACATTGTATACGAGCGTATATAAGAATATGTTCTTTGGCAACTGAATATACTAACCGAAGTGTTTCCTTAGTAAATATCAGCTAGATAATGCTTCTGGTTCAGCCATTTCTTTTGTACTGATGTTATATAATATGGAATTCTCTCATTGCATATAGAAATTTATCATCTGGGTTTCTTGGATTGTTTTCAATTTTCACTTGATGTATTTTTAAATGTTGCCATTTGAAGTAGATTCTCAGATGGGTCATAAACATATAATTTCATGCAGACTTTAAACTCCATATATTGCAGAATTTCAGACAATGAAATATTTCTTGAATATATTTGTATGTTTGATATCGCGATCAACACATATGTCATAATTTATTACATAGTTTAGTTTAAATTAGCCAGAACGTTCATCACTGCCCTGAATACGCTCTAACAAAGTATGATTACACTGTGTTACGCGCTGTTATGAGAATGTTCGTTTGTCAGTTATAATTTATGTTGCATATAGACGACAATTTAGAGTGTTTTTAAATTTTGACATGTTTCAATCTAAAATGTAGTTTGAACCAATACTGGTATATCTTATTTTATGGTGTTCATGTTTTCTTTAGCATATTAAAGTTGAATGCTACTTAGGCGTTTTTACACGTACGCATATTTTAGCGCTTACAGAAGTAGCAATATTCTGTGTCAAAGTCTGTTTAGTATAATTGGTTCACTGTTAATTTGAAAAACGGTAAAATAATACGAATAAAATTCTTAGCTTGGATAATGGGACGTACCAACGTCATGTTTCCTACTTGAATTCCTGCAACCACACTACGATAATGATGGGAAATCTAGTCCACTGACTGACGGAGTTGCACAGCAAACACTTCCTGCTAGACCTCGAACACCCCGCACACATTGGCTCCATTAGCTTGCGCGATTATTTTCAAATATACTATATACTCATATTATATGGAGTTCATATTTCATTATATATACATTGAACTGTATAAATTAACCAAATTTCAGATTTTTATAATAATTTGAACAATACTTCACATAATATTCATTATTTATACACATTTTGGATTTTGGAAAGAGTTAAATAGATCCTAGCAAAGTGAATACCGATACGTACGTCGATAAGAGTTTTGGATACACCCGTGCGACAAGTTTGATGACTAATTTCAGTTTCAGAAGGGCTTGTTGGTCTAGTGGTACGATTCCTGTTTCGGGTACAGGAGGTCCCGGGTTCGAACCCCGGACAAGCCCGTATTTTACGCCTAAGTTGTGTCATATTACTTCATGCGAACCAAAGTGCCTTAAGTCATACTATATCTGTCCCTTATGCCCCAAATACGTAGTATGGTTTATCACATATTTTCTTTCATACTTTAAACTGCACAGAATAACCGAATCTCAGATTTTTTTTATAATAGTTTGCCCAATACTCCACTGTCAGTCAGGCTGTGTTCGAGATAATATTAGTTTCCTACGCGAATTTAATTGATACCACTACTAGAAAATGCAACACCGCAGCATTTTTGAAGAAAAGGTATGTTTGGAAAAACAGATTTTAGTATTTCAGATAACACTTGGATGATTCTTCTATAAATCAGGCTTTATGTGGTGTTTTATGCAGCTTAGGTATCCAGTAAAAGCTTGGAAAGTCATTAGTGTCCTCCGGATTGGCGAAGTAACATTATTAATAATTTTAATTGCACTTCAATTACTTAATTTGCATAACTATTCATTTGATTTACACCAAAAAACATGTACGCATACGATTAGCTTTTTTACATGCACCCTTTAGTTGTGGTAAATGTAACATTAGTTGTTTTCGAAACGCTGTACATAATTCCCGGTTCCCGAATTACCGTCAAACGCGATGTAATTCTATTTGCGCATGCGTAACCCACCTAGCAACGGCAAGGGTCGAACAAAATATAAAAAGTCAAATGAACACCGGCAGACAATTGCAACAACCCCGGAAGAAGTCAGCGGCATATTTGAAACAGTTTTTAAAGATAGCGGAGTGGGTGAGGGTGGGTACAAACGAAGCAGAACCAGAAAAACAATTTAAGACAGCTGAGAAACGTGGATTTCCAGTTGAAAAAATGATTTTTAAGAGAAAATGGACTGAAATAGAGATGGTACGTCCGTATTTCACAGAGTAAACATGATCGTGACATCGTTTTTCAACTCCCAAAATACCTGCAAAAATATGATAATATTACACTATAGCCAAAGATAATTTGCATGCTTGTTATTCTTGCTTAGGCAGAATAGTGTGCAAATTTTCAGAGGCTGGTACGAGATAGTTGAAAGATGATGGAAGGTTTATTATAGGGGAATGTTTACGTTGCGACTTGGAAGCATTGATGTTCGGTGCACTGCGACTCTGCGCGTTTGGAACGTTCGGAATCTGTCCTACCTTCCGGTTTGTTCACTCCAGGTCACGCAATATGCCATTCTCCATCCCAGAGTTGTTAGCGTAGGCAGGCTAACACCTCTGCCACACATGACTTCTCACGCTATGATTTGCCACATATCAATACGCAGGTGTTGTTCGGTTATTCAAGACGGTGGCCAATACCCAGTTGGCAAGTAAACTATTAAATATTTTCTTCCCATACACTTTCCATAACTCCATCTGCTTTGGTTTCAATTCCACGTCAGAATTGTATTCATTCAGAATACGTTTTAAGTTCCCGCGAACTCCGACATATTTAAATATAGTTCGGGCTTGACCCTACCAATGACCTTTGATTTGCATAAATGCATAATCAAGCTGTGGCAGAGATGCTTTAAAGTCTTGCGTGGAGAGTGGCAATATGCGCACAAATGATGAACGCGCAAACGCTATCAATGCGGGAATTGGGTATATGTATATATAAGGTGGGTATGTAATGTATCTGACTTGAAATTGAGTTTATTCATTCTGATTTCAAAAATGTTGTTAATTGTTACATCCTCCTTATATTACGTATTATTCTCCTAATAATTGAATTGTTTTGAAAAGTTTTTATTTGATATTCCTGTGATCGAAAAAGGTTTCGTCGTTATGATGCAAACGAAATGACATCCTGTCATTGTTGATTGTATGTGATTTAGTTTTGACTAATATAATGCTTGGTATTGGTTATAATGGCAAATCTCGGGGTAAGACTGGATGTTTTAATTGATGGTCTTACTTCGTCCAGTAATGAAACACTACAATAAAGGAGACCAGTGATTAAACTTAGCTCAAATTCAGATAAAATTGACTTATTGCACCTTATCTTGGTTTGTGTACATGTTCATGGCGATACGTAGACTTGCTTGCAGTCTGTTGCGATTTCGATGAAAAATTCTTGAAAAATAAATAAATAAATAAATATAAATAAACGAGGGGTGAACGCGAAAATCATGTGATCACGAAATCCCAACAGACTTGCCATCATTGTCGGCCAGATTCAGGCGGGAAGACTCGTTTATTAAAAATGGTCAAACATGTAATGTAATGTAAGTTTTGAACGTGTGGATCCCGAAAAAATCTTATAACGTTGAGTGTGAGCGAATACTTTCATATTTACCCGCATGTTCACACAATCAAATATGTCACATACAAGCCACATAAAACTTCGGAACTTCAGGATTGAGTTCAACTTTAATATCCTAAATTCAATATAAACTATGATTACTACTCATGTTCATGTATACAGCCATTCATCATAATGGAAAGTAAGACTAAGTATCAAAATCTCTGTTCAAACTTGCATGTTTTGATTCACATTGAACTAAGAATCACTATACCCTCCATATACATTTTACCACGAGTATGATTATTTTAAACACAGTGTTAGTTTGTGAACACTTTATTGTCCGTTAAAATGTCACCAAGCCAGCGACAATAACATGAATTATTGCCTAGTATGTTCTGTCCTGTTTTATTTTAGTTATAAGAATATATAAGGAAAAATAAAAACAGCTAAAAATCTAGTGAATCAGGCTGTAAATAAAGAAGTATAAAATCAATGAGCAGTGGTGAGTTTTACATATTCCATCTGATACATTCGCCGACGTTGATGCTCCTGTCTGTGAACAAGAATAACCATCGGTATTCAGTATATATCCATCCATACACTCACAGTAATACGACCCAGCCGTGTTAACACACATGTGATTGCAGGAATGGGCATCTCTAGTACATTCGTCTAAATCTGTAATAGACAAAGCAACAACGTGTAGTTATTGTTGATTTTCTCATGCGTCTTCACCAATGTAGATTTGGATAGAAGCAGCTATATATATATTGGAGTTGTTGTATGTCACATTTGCGGCTACGGTAATAAGATATTGTGTGTGATTGTGCCGTTTTATTGATTCTAGGATAATCATGATCGTGTGAATTGATGCATGAAGAAATCAAACATATTTTTGTATGTATGAGCTCTGATCAAGTATGCGATTTTCCATTTCCAATGGGGAGGAAAGGAACGCGGTCTTTATGTGTAATGTGTGTGCTGCCTTTTCCGATATTGACAAAATAACGCTGTCGTTATGCACTTGCGCGAACTTTGTTCATTATGCGTTAGATACGACTACATTTTGCTTTTTGCGATGGTGACAATTAGAAGTAATAGTTGCGATGCCGATGGTAGTAATTAGAAGTTGCGTCTCCATTGGTGGTAAAGAGGAGATGGCAAGTTAAGGCAGCAACGTAAATACAAGAGTTATGATAACAACCACAGTAGCATTATCAACAACTGATTGGTGTGTGGTTTGTACGCAATTGCAAAAATGTATCATATACATTTCACTTGTTTAATATAATAACCAAAGTGTAACTTTTAACTCTGTACGTTTTTATATGGGTTATTTATTAAACCATCGAGCCTCAAAACGCCTTTCCATAATCAGTGTGCATGCCATACTGGCTGTGCAGTTGACGCAATACCATTAAATCAATGCAATGACAAGTGTTCAATCTAAGGCTGCATTATTGTTCATTGTAATATAATTACCTTGACAGTCAGGCGTGAAATTACCATATGGAGATACGTACCCAGACTGACATTCCAACTCATCGCCTACAATATAAAATTTTGGAAAATAAAAATCCGAATTATAAAGTAATTTGTAAAAATATGATTAATTCATGCGTCAAATACGCATTGTAGTTTTTGTTCAGTAATAGACCACATACCGAAGACAATACTGGCAAGAGTGGGAACTGTTGAAAGGCTGCAAAGTATTGCATTGGCGATTTTTCGCGATTGGCATCACAGCGCCACATTTCGTTTGTGACCAGTTGTTACATGTTAAGCCATGGACCTCGGATGAGCGCATCCTTTAGAGGCGCCCTCCAATCAGATCTATGCATTTTGTCGAGGTGAATTCTGGGTGCAATCCCGCACGGGTTCGCGGGAGAGTATGTTTACATCGAGCTCGCGAAACCGCGCGATTCGGACGATGACTCCAAACATACTCTGGCAAAAGTAGAACGACAAGGCATGTCTTTATGAGCTAGAATTTGCATATTCAATACGGAAACGTCATGAAAGCAAATGACCAGTCAGTTAATAAGAAGTTTTTTTTATCTATTTCTGATGAGATTGAATGAATATTACTGCGGCATTTTTGTGGTAACAACCAGGTGCCTTAGGCTGGAACGTCGACATTGATGTCGTTTTTTTGTAGTTAATAATTAATTTTTATTTTAAAGCGAGTAGTCGTCACCTGCGCATGCGCCAGCTGGCCATAGCTTGTCAATGTTTACAAACAAGCGTCTACCCATGAGTCTGCATTTTTAGCGTGTGTTGTTATCTTCGCTTGGGACTCAATTCCCGCGCGTGCGCAGGTGACGACCCCTCCGTTTTAAAACGATTTGTCTAAGAATGGCAGGGCGTCATCCTCCAGCATGGCGTTTATTCCATCATGCTAAAATAAGTCACGGTCAAATAAATAAATAGCGCCACATTCTGTCATAGACTTCGAACGAATAGTGACAAAATTGTGGCGTAGCTCACCTGCACAGTAAGCTTCTGAGCAACCTCTTGTTCTGATTAGAAAGTATACATAATACGATGAGCAATTTTTGACCTGCATTGGGTACTCCTGGTAACAAAGAGACCCAAGGTAATTTCCACATGTTGTACGATTGAAAACATCGTCTTCCACCGTAGGATGTGTGCCGTTCAAATACAAAGGTATATGAGTACCACAATGGTAAGCAGGTATATCGTTATTAATGGGCATTTCACCCCCAGCACCACTAACAAAACGATACCATCCTGAAAGTAGATTCTCATCACACAGCAGTTCTTCCCATGTTTGGTTTGCACCGTATGCAGTACTCCGCTTGGGTTTGTCTATTTCTGTATATGTGACACAGGGATTGATGTCTGGCGCATTGTATGCTCTGACAACGACTTCTAAGGAAACATTAGGATATACCATTATTTCAGATTTCAGTGTCAGATAGTAGGGGTAGTAGTAGGGAAATCTTGCTGTCAACGGTTTTGTGTATATTGTGCTAAATCTTGTGGCATGCTATTTTTTGACAGTGACAGTGCCTCGCTTTTAACACTTTTATAATGACAGTTTCTGATACAATAAATACATTACATCTTCCTCGCTTATAATAAACACACTCTACTGTAGCAAACTAGTTGTATGTCCCTCAAAAGTGTTCCTTATAACAAGGACACAGTGTACAGGGACTATAGCAGTTACCTAAATATTGCATCCGGCTTATTAAGATTTGGGATTTAAGATGTGCGCGAGATGACGAAAATGTGATTTATTAACTCGTTTCTAGCTTGAATTCATCAAGCTCAAGTAAAGTTTCTAACTTATTTTCCCAAGTTCACAGTGACATTTTCACGTTTGGTTGATATATGCTCATCATGAAAAAACAGTTAAGATTTGGAAAGTGTATGTTAAACCGAAAAGTGTTTTGGTAACTAGTTTCTAGCCAGACTCTATCAATCTCAACAATAGTCTTCAACATACTCCCGGCAGTAAAAATGATGAGTATAATAAATAAGTCGCAAAGTCTGACCATACTTATTTTTCAATTATTAATTGTGCGTACTATCGACTAAAATAACGACTACTTGAATTGATTTAGTGGGAGACCATGTCACAGTCAGGTACAGTAACATCACATTGTAATTACTAAAAACAATTGCCATCGACTTCCCTTATATATTTAGTGCAAACCAACAACATAATTATATTATACAAAGAAATCAGATACAATGAACTCATCATGAATTCTGTTCTGTCCCGTCGTGATTTTCCTGTGTTTATAGCATTGCAGGAACAAAGGTACACGGATATCTGATCTGCGCTCAACAAATAAACGCCAGTAACTAAATGTTTATTGGGGACAAGTCACGACATAATCTGAATGAAAATTATGGGGGAGATCGATATATGCGCCTCGCCACGTGACGCCGATCTTTGTAGGTTGATAAACGAGGTGTGAGATTGCAACACACATCGTATGGTTATACGCAGAAGTATAATATTTTTGGAAAACTTAAAAATTGTTTTAATATGAAATGAATGTTAACACCTGCGTCGATATGATCTTCATGGATGGTTGATGCACAACATACATACATGGTAATTATTTTAAATAATATTAATATGATTGTATAACTGTTATGCAAATAACGTTACAGACGTGATACAGCATGTTTTATTAGCCATGAATCATGTCAGTGGCCCGAAAGTTAAAAACGTCCCTGTAATTAAGTATTGAATACTATTTAATTACATCAATTACAAATAATATTGTTGCATGTTACAAGTAGGAAAAGTAATAATACATATTTGATTACATTATACAATTACATATATATATATATATATATATATATATATTTAATTTAAATTAATAATATATTTATTTTAAATTAAATTAATTATATATATATATATATATAATTTAAATTAATAATTAAATGAATATAATTTACATAATTATTGAAATGGACGGCATTTATTTGTTTTTCTCGTGTAAAGTATATTAAAAACACTGCATAATCTTCTAATTTACATAATTCTGGTTATGGACAGTATTGAAAATTACTTGGTCAGTTCTTCTAGGGTATGATTCAAGTTTTTCGAGTATATGTTTCACATTATAATACATAAAATGACTATGCGTTTTAACTGTGACGAGTCACTTTATGTGCCTATTTGTAATTTTCAGTTGGTTCCACCGTGGTTGTAGAGTTGACGTCACCCAGTTTGATTGCTGGAGCTACTTTGTTTTTCTTGGTTACCCTAAACAATAGAAATTAAATAAACGTGATGTATCCATTGATAAACGGCGATATATACATTCGATCTTCGGCTAAGAACTCAACCCCATCATAGATAATGATATAAAAAAAGTGCACGCATTAAATGCATGCGTACAACAATATTAACATAACTTCAGCAATTAGCATCAAACGAGGGGTTCAATTAAGATTATTTTATGCACCCCCACAAAGTCGAGCGTTGGTCAATAATAGCACATCCCTGGGATATTGTGCGTTATATGATCTTTTACGAAACCTTTTTTGGAAGAGAGCAAAAAAGTATTATCTTACTTTTTCCATACAACTACCGTCACAACCACGGTAATTGCAATACAAACACAAATAACGATCACAATCCAAACCCAGGAGTTACCAGTGTCACTTGGTTCTATCCCCACCATTCTAGGAGTTGTTAAATTTCCAACTATTCCAGGAGTTGTGACCGGTGTTGACAATGATGGCGTTGTCTTCATAGTTGATGCAATGGCCTGTGTGCATAGATCTACACATATGCAAATTTCATAAATAATTGTAAAAATTACAAATACGAAAGCTTTTAACAGAAGAGAGAAATCACTCCGTACATCAACTGAAATATCGCATGCATGTATCAAATCACCAACTAGTAGTTATTGACACCGCCTGTAATTTGCAAACATATTTACTATTTTACTCAAAAATATAATTATAAGACATAGGTGTCAGCAAAGTCATATCGGTTGTGTTTATTTTAAAGAATCATAATAATTATATGCTATTTATTTGTCTTGAAATAAGTTCAGTTATTAACCAAACGCAATGTTTTTTTTAAGCTAGATATCATGAAAGAGTAGCTAGGTATCATGAAATACCGACCTGGTTGGTGAGTCCAAAATGAAGTGGAATTTTCTGGGACACAAAGATGACATTCACTAAAGTAACTGGTCTCTCCAGGGCTATAACATCTACCATCTATCTGACAAGCATCGGACTGTACACATAAAGAAACACATTAAATATTCGAACACGATTCAGTTTCGCGGAATTGAGATGAGCTCAGTAGATCAATTTAAATTCATACTCACACGTTGAACGCACGTGCCGTCTTCTGAACAATTGACACATACAGAGTCGTACACAACGATAGGGAGCATGCTGCTTTCAGTTACACCATCATTGCTGACGGAAATATTAAACGCGTGAATAGGAGATGCTGAAGGGTCGGTACGTGAGTCTAGGCTTATTCTTGCGTATGTCAGCGGCAAATAACAGTTCATCTGGTATGCACTCATGAAGTCAGCAAGCGTGGTCGCTACAACACCCGTATCCGTCCAAATCCCGATGCCTGAAATATACTAACGAAAATTTAAATATATAATTAGAAGTTCAATTATATGTCAGCAATTAAGAACAATAGGAATTTGCGGAATTACTTATTCATACATACGTCAAGCTCATAAATATGGCAAGTCAAGTAACCCGAGTCAAATATCCCCGAAGCTGCAACAGAAATCCTAGCGCACGGTCTGCTCCGTATATCACAAATATTGCCGCCATATACTTCATACACTCTGGGTGGTTTACCAATATCTATACTGCAGTCAACAGACGTGAATCCTTCCTCACAGATGCATACACCCTCCATGCTACAGTTGCCGTGTCCACTGCAGTGACCCGGGCATGTTGCTCCAACAACAGACTCTGGAGGGGCTAATTCACCTTCGTCATTTGCTACCCACAAACTCGTGTTTTTGTACACCACCGACAAGCAACTGCTTTCCACCACAGATCGCGCATTGGAAGTGGCAGATAGATCATCCATCGCCTGTTGAACAAATTGTATTCATGTTTAAATTCAATATCATTTGTAAGTTTACTTAAAATCTATAGCAAAATTATTCAACCAGTACCACTGAATTGATAATCATTATCATTGTAGTCTGCAATACTACCAATAACTACGGTTGTCAGGTTGACGATATTCTGTTAAAAATTGAACTTTCGTAATCAAACAGATAAAATATGGACAACATGACGTCACTATGCTGTTCCTTTGAGATGTATTATGACAAATCTATTCCAGAGTTTCTAAATTAGAATTGTTAAATTATTAAAAAGATCTCGCGTGACATGACATTACGAGACAATTATGATGATTTAATGTGATGCGTAATGGAGTGCACTAACTGATCCCTATGTGTAATATTCGTATTCCATTGATTATCAGAAAGAGGATTTATTCACCTGAACGTCAAACTTGCAGTCCGCTAATGCATTATCAATATCGTCCGCTATACTTTCAACTTGTTCGCAATATTCAATTATGTTAGACTGGTGAACTGCATCATAACACGCCCTCATTGCTTCGTCTTCTGTGATACCACTAGGCGTAGGCCAGGTAAGGCTATCTGCATTGAAGTCATTGATGGATAAATCCGAACTATGATGTGAAAATATGGATTCATATACTACGTAGTCGTCATTATATGTTTTAGGCATGCCGGAACTGAACACTTCTTGATGCATGTCCTCACATGAGAAATGTTCAGTGCCATCATCATAACCTTTTATTCCATCACTATAACTTCCACAGACTATTATACTCCCACTTTCCGGGCTCTCAGGATCCTCCGCTAAACACTGACATGTGGGATATGAAGATGGAAGATTGGGATTGGCAATGGGCATATTTTCTTTATAGAAAAGGCTTGTGCCTTTATCGAGCCTGTAGACGAAAGAAAACTAAGATGAAGAGTCCGATAGATGCATCGTGAAGCGATAATCTCATTTACCGGAACAGCTGTAATAGAAAATCGAATTGCAAGAAATTACTTATTCACACATACGTTAACTCGTTAACTGGATATTTGCTTCTATTTTTATATGAAATACTTCTATGCCATTTGTTTGTAAATTGCTCTTTCACATAATGAATGAAAAGTTTTTGACAAGATAGAACAACAATTTACTCGTATGACTTTGCAAAATCGTCTGCATTGTTGTTAGATATTACATCCCCTGTTGCCGGGTCGATGTAATCTAAATCATTATTTTTATTCTCATCAAAAGAACCACATAATCCTTCTACACGTTCAAATAGCGCTCCATTGAAATCTATATATACATCGGGATAGCTACCATCTACGTATCGTACAAGCTGGCCGGATCCAGTGTGTACCTGTATTTGAAGATAACAAAATTAGTTTAAAATGCTGTAATGCAAATACAAAATCTAGAATATTGATGTAATGTGATTCGGACAAACCCACAACATTGCTATAGTCAAGGACATATTAGTACATTGTGTTTACAACATTTCTTCGCATTTATAAAACATATTTTTATTTGGACCAGATATTGAAATTTTCAAAGTGGGATTAAGCGCTAAAATATGTATATGTTACAGAAGTGTTCTACATGGGTGCCACTAGTCTATTAACTTTGAACTTCGAAGGTTTTCTTGAGGTCTATAATTTGTTTAGAAGAATGGTAACAAGCAATACTATAGAAAGTTAATAGTTCTTTGAAAACGCAATGTTAATAAAGTTAATAATATACGATTTATAATTTCACAGACTCGTTAAATCAATCCCTGTGACAATAAAATACATGGCGCCTCGCTAGCAGTGTTACATCAATGCAAGATACGAATACCTACATTTGTCCGTAAGTCAATACTGTGCAAGATCTTACCCATACTTCTTTACCATTTGGTGAAATGGAAACTGTAAATGCTGGGTTACAATATACATGATCCCTGTGAACATAATATTTCATTGGTCCATCGCAACTATCAACAATAGCGACGTCATTCCCTTCACGTACAGCTACTGCACAATTACAGGAAGGGTTGTTACTGTTACCATGGTTACACTTTTTCAGACGCACTTCAACCTAAACGCAATTAGAGTTACAATTTATTTAGAAATATTAAATACTATTACGTTTTCTGTCATTCTCAAAAGTAATACGACAGAAACGGAAGTTAATTTAACGTGTCGCGGTGCATTCTTTGATTTATCCTGTGGCTGTATTTTCACAAGTGTCACGGCGTGCTGTTATTGTTATATGCCATGTTTAAAGATTTTTCAAATATCGAACCGAAAAGTCGTAACCACTTCATCCAAGACTTTGGTGTGAGTGCAAGGCAGTGACTTATTTTAAATTCTCTTCAATGATTGGTTAAGACGGCATTTCATTTTATTAATGTACAAATGTTGGCAGACGCGTTTTCCGAACGACAAATGCAGCAAACAGAACAAAATTATTTAAAAAAAATAAAAACAATACAATGTAACCCTTCTGCATAACGTGGGGCACAATGTGTCATCATTTGTATGAGCCAGAGTAATAACTTAAATTAGAAGCCGACAAATGCATCGTTAATGTAGTTAATATGTGTAAATATCTGGACTTGTTGTTGGCCCCTGATTGGAACCATTCCATATGGCGGAGAGACTGAATCTCACAATGGCTGTGATAAGGTCTAAGTGAAGTGAAATCAGTGAATAATATAATTGCACATAGCATCAGTATTGGAGCTTGGTTCAGGCTCTGCTTGGTTAAATTCAAAAACCTTAGATAGTTTAGAATAGTAACCGTTCATTCATTCATTCATTCATTCATTCATCAATTTAGTTATTAGTCTATTTATTTATTTATCCAGTTAATTTTTTTCAGTTATTTATTAATTGATCTAATAATTGATACAATTTTCATCAACAGTTTGTCATTTTACTTTACATTAATTGACATATTTGATTTTATCATTATATTTCTTAGTCATGCAGGCTAAGCTAAGCTAACATTGACCAGACTAGTTCAATATCGAACTATTTCCATGTCCCTCACCAGTTGCATTCCTGCAAAACAATATTTCATATTTCACACAATAAATGCATTTGACTTTTCATAATACTTTGTATATGTATTTCTGTACATTAGTATTAATTTAATTTTCTTAAGTTACGGTTGAAATATTGTTTTTTTCAAATTAGGCTAAGCAAACAAGCCACGTTGTCTTCAACTACGTATCCATCTTGTTGCGAAGGATCTAAATCTGACAAAACATTGCTTTGAAAAGTCAAAATGAAAAGATTATCAACATCCTGGAAGTTTATAAAAATAATTAAGTAGCGAATTGCTCTCAGGTTGAACGAGGGTGCTGAAAATCGCACACCACCAAAAAGCACTAAGAAGTGGGTAATGATGTAGCCTAACGTTATCCGGTGACGTGTTTCAAGTACATTTTTAATGACTAATAAGTTGATATTCAGGATTACTAACCTAACCTATCCTTTCAATATTTCTTTAAAAATACCCCAACTTGCAGATTCATGACCCAGGTCTAGATAATTAGTTATTAAACCTCACGCAAATATATCATATTATTGAAGGGAGTGACAATGTACACGTAAACAGTTTCGTACACCATCAAACTGCAATCGACCGAAGGGTTTCTGAGTTCTATGGACTGAACTCGTACCAGCTTAGACATTAATATTACACATGTAAACAAACAAATAAATAAAATAAATAGGAAACAATTTTAATGACATGTTAATTGGTAGATCAGATAACCTAATTACATACTTTAAGGAGAGAACCATAACAACGTGATTATTATGTTTTAGACATATATGTAGATGAGACATGTCGCGTCTGAAAACATAATTACCTCCAATTATGAACGTTAGTAAGCATATTGATCAACGAATGATACCTACAAGAATTATATACACCATTGACCACCAGTCGTTCATATAATAATGTCATAAAGACCGTTTCAAACTTGTTTGACGTTTCTAGTTTATACTGACTTCACATACCGTAAAATTAAACATTTCAAATCCCTCTTTTTCTTTGACCATTACGTAATCATCAACTCCATACCAATCATAATATCTGTGCACAAAGATACACGGTTAAATTTCACGACATTTCAAATCTACTTCAAATAACGTTGTCATCGCGCTGCATGATTTTCTAGGATACCTTTAAGATGACAATGACATATCTCGACAGTAATAACCTTAATACTTACGTGCCGTCAAATGTAGTGTAATGAGGGTCACCAGTGGCTCTACATTGACCAGCATGTTGTTTATTCACATGTACCTACAAATATATTGAATACATTTTTTTTATTAATTTTACGGTTTATTGTTTTGTAGAGGATTTCAGTTCGTATGGTAGCTTACCGTGACTTCTCCGGGGGCGTATCCTACGTAATATGACGGGTTAGAGCTATCGAATGTGTCGAACGCTAATATGTACACTCCCGCTTCATATGCTGGTTCATTAGGATGGCATACAATGTCTATAGTCTCAATTGTTCCCACAATGTAATCATTTGTAAGTTCAACATAGCAGTCTTGAATATTGTATATAAGTTTGTTCTCTATACTTGTGTGAACTCCGACTCTTGTATAACAGTAATCGGCGTCACGATCGCAGACTATAGGAATGCTGCTGCTAAAGTTAATTGAATACGGTTCGCTGTTCTCCTCTAGGTAAACCACGGTGTCAAATATCTGTAAACACATGAATTTTAATCGACTTTAAATTACTTTAATTTCATATTTAATCAAAACATTGAGATGCAATAACAAATTTGCTAGCTAACTAATTAATATTAATTAGCTCAATATTAATATCGATTAACACTCTTGAAATGCAAAGTTGATACCTGATTTTAGTCCATATTTTTAGATGAAAAAAACACCTTCCGCGACAATAGTTATTTCATTATGTATATACATTGTTTAACATCGAGTTGCAGTAACACACGCGTTTGCTTAAAATTACCAAGTAATAGTATTTTATGTTACCTTTATCCCGGCAAAGTAGGAATCCCATTTTTCGGGACTGATGGTGTCTTCGTCAACAAATTTTGAAACAACACCGCATTTTATCTTATAAATAAATGAAATAAAAAACAACAACAGATAAATAGGTGAAATATTGAATGTATAAATCAATAAATAAATAAAAAAAATATTGAAGGAACTAATGAGATAAATAAATAAATAAATAAATAAATAAATAAATAAATAAATAAATAAATAAATAAATAAATAAATAAATAAATAAATAAATAAATAAAATAGTTGTATTCCTCGTATGTTCGTCGATAGTTTATTAATTATGATATGTACACTTGAGGCTGAGTTTATATTAAGTAATATGCTTTACTCACTGTTTGTCCAATGGAATATAACCCATCAACCGATGGTGATGGATGGTCGAAATCATCTAACGTTAATTTGACATTTCTTGTTTCGCCTTTCTCAATTACTAGGTTTTCTACTTGTACCAGTTCATTGTCTGCATACCAGTTGATAGTGAACAGTGACGTGACGTTTTCATATGTTGTAGGAGTGAACTCACAATGAAATATTGGTGTCATCAAATTTACGTCTCCGAGTTCAGGATAGTTCTGTTCTTCCATACTTATTGACACGACTGGTTCGGATACGAGCATTGGGTAAGTATCTGTAAATATAGCGTGGTTATACAATGACTTATTCAAATAATATTACGAGGGAGTGGCAAAGGTTTATACTGGACAGTGGGGGTGATCTGAGGGCATAGCCGAGAAACAAATCACCGATGTCCCGTGGTCTTACCTACTTATAAACTGTCTGCTTCAATGAATTGCACAATGAATTTGACGACTAAAGCAGTATCTCTCTAATATAATACTTTAATTATGTTTTATACTGGGGAAACTAAATTGAATTGTGGATATTTATGTATATAGATAGAGCTTTAATAAAAAGTCACTCAACTGCGTGATTCAATCAACATATTTGCTGTGCCTTATGATGCACTGATACGTACGTTGTAACACTTTTTAAAAACTAGGTTTATATTCGACTTCCATCACAGCAAAGTAGAAGTAGTAGACTTTGTACTCACCGGAACAGCCTGGGGTAAACCCATTTGGTGAAGTCTGTCCTTCTTTACATTGTAGCTCAGTGCCTGAAATTAAACATACGCCATTACTTCAGGACCTGATGATCTGTAGCGTTTCCATCCACCATCAAGGAGATTGGGTTTTAGACCCAGGCTTGCGGTATTCATATTGGGAGAAAAGCGTCCTTTCGGAGGGGGCGTAAAGCTGTGTCCCATGTACTGTCCCGATCTTCAGTGCACGTAAACTATCTTGCTGTTCATGTCGCAAAGAGTAGGTAGATACCCATCATGCACACGCACGTGAACACAATCGTCGCAACCTTCTCACAAAATTATACATGGCCAATTTCAACGATGCATAATGTGTGAACTTTTCATAATCAAATATCCCAGGTGCTATAAAATTGATATTTTTTCTCTAGGAATTAAATCTAAGGTGAATATATAGCTGTCATTTATTTTGTATTAGTAGCGTCAGTCCCCTATAATGTACAAAGATTGACTTGGCTTTAAACCGTCATTACTTACCTGCACAGTATGCTCTTGTGCACTCAACACTTCCCAACTTATAAACAAAGTAATCGCCGCAATTCTTTACTTGCATGGGGTATTTAGTGAAGCACCTAGTGCCTAAAAAATTCCCACATGCAATACGCCATTCTGTTTGGTTCCCAACCGGGTGTGTTCCGTCCATATAAAGTGGGATTTCTGTACCGCAGCTGTAATTCGGCAAGTCGTCTATATTGGTCATTTCACCACCAGCTCCACTCACAAACCGATACCATTGCCAAGGGAAGTTATCATCGCATATTAGTCCCGGGTCACTTGAGTCCACGTGGTAGTTAATACTCCTTGCTGGCTCGTCTATAGGAACGTAGTTGAAGCACGGGTCTTCCTCTGCTTCGGTTACTGCAATGACAACAAATAATCACACATCACATTAAGTTGTTGGACCCTCAAGACAAGAGGATTAGATACGCAATTGTGAAGTCTTTCCTCGTTTCTAATATTGTAAATGTTCAAAGAAATAGTATTTTTTATTGATGGAAGACAGCAATGGACGCTGGTAAATGCACATCGTTTCTAGAACGATGTTCATAAGAAGTTGACTAACTCCAACATATGAATGTTACATCTATAATATTTGTTCTCCTTGAATACACACCCAATAAAACAATGTGAAATGTATGCCGGCAACACGCCACATTCATGCGACGTTATATTCCCACTTTATTGCAACCCATTGCATGCACGTGTGGACAGTAAGTTGCGTACAATTCATGAAAAATCTTATTCAAGAGAATAGAATTTAGAGAACCTCGCAATATAAAATAAATGACCTTGAATAATTAAACCAATGTAAAATTATTTTTGATTTGCTGATTAGACACTTGATTGTGCACTGCTGCAAACTAGCTCCAATTCTCCGACTTATCAGGATCTGTTTGCCAAACAACCGATTTTTCTTTGTTGACTGGATGTTACTATCCATCAACGCATAACAGGTACGTACGTTAGCAGTTTAGGTTCCACTTCCTCCTCACATTTTAAAGTTGTCTTGTGTAATGTATATTTCTGGAATCGTTTAAACGGGAGCAACAAATTACTAGTCTGGAGAGCGCGATGGATTATGATTCATTTACAACTCTGCGACTAGGCTCGACTTCTGTCTCAAGAACGCTCTAATCATAACTAACAAAGGCAAAACGAAACGTTCAATATTCGGGGCCGCTGTGGCAATGGAAGTAGAATAATCGCCATAATTTCGAAGCCTGTGCATGAAAAAGAAAAGATTAAGGCTGCCAACGGGTTATTGTATGCCCTGATGTTGTCTATATGGAAGGTATGCCTTTAAGCTCAAGGGATCTATTGGACAGTGCCATTCATAAGCTATGTAAAGTTTTAACATGCAGGCAAACACTATACAATAGCATCACATAACCATGTTAAATACAACATATTAAGTTGGTCGTAAAAAGACTCAAACAAACAAACAAAACAAACATAACAAACCCAAAATATTGGCCATTTTGACAAACCACGTAACAGATCAAAATTTTTTTTCTCAGAAGAAGCTGTAGCTATACATGCTACATCCAACTATCCCACTGATCGGTTAAAGCATTCGCGAGAAACATCACTCTGTTACACTGAAAGAAATAGTTTTTCATCAAATAATACAGGTATTGTGTATGGGAGATGGCTGTCTGATGTGGTAAAATAAGTAATACATAAACATTAGTGCAATATCATGACTTGCAACAAACCACGACAATATATCCCCTAGCAAACATTACAAAGATTACAGTTACACAGATGCAATGATTCCGGTAACATAAATATATTACGTAAAAACGTTAAAAATGAATGATATAAATTATATAGCGGCATACTGGACAGTACTTACCACTCAACGCCACTAGCAGCGCCCAAACACAAAGTTGCATCGACAACATAATGTCACGTATGTGAAAAAGTGCGGATGTTCTCTGTCTATGTATGTATCAAGCTATCCGGTAGCCCTGGACAACTGACAATTTATTACATTTGATCGTGACATTTGCATCTGATAAAATATAACTGATGCAACCTGGTCTAATCAGTTCTCTAATAAATGACAACAATATAAGTAACTTACAGAGACAGCAGTCACCATAGAAACCGATGTTACAGCTACATCCGAACCCAATTTGCAGAGGTTCTCCTCGCCCATAGCAAGTAATTTCATCTTCACAAGGTGTAGTTTCTTCGAGGGGTTCCGTGCATTCGCTCCCACCACAGTGCGACGAGAACAACTCCGTTCGTGTTCTTTTCTTTTCAGACCTTAACCCACATGGCGGGCTGCAATGTGACCAGTCACTCCATTCTGACAGCGTGCAGTTTATCAATACACATGAACCACAGCATCGACCATCCCATCCCGCGTTGCACTCACATGAATTTGTTAGTGGCGTACCATTTCCATTGCACCCAGGTACGTTACACGAACGTGTCTCAGTGCTTGATCCGGAACACGAGCTCCCGCCACAGCTAGCATCCTTGTCCTTGCTTCTAGTGCGCGTTTGCGTTCCATCTGTCCCACAGGGATATGTGCAATCGGACCAGCTACTCCATTGTCCCCATTCGCAGTTGACGGGGGAGCATCGCCGTCGTCGACGTCGCCGCCACGAGTCTGTTTCCATTGTAATGCATATGATAATCACCAGTAAGAAGGTACACATTCGGAGATCCATTGTAACTGATTTTACCCAGTTCCTACCAATAATTGTCTACTTGTGTTTATTGGTATTTATACATGACGTTTGTGAATAATACTGGAATAAATTTGCATACATTGTCAGAATTAGGACGAGTACATACATTATTGACGGGATGCAGAGAACAA